TCCTTAGACAAAATTAGTTTTTACATTGTTTTTTTCTTTTTTCCTTCTCAGGGCCCATTCTGACACCCTGGGGATACCTATTGACTTAGCTGGAAGCTTTGATTCTTTTCTAATAAACTTTACTTACTATCCTCTCTTTCCATATTTCTAATTCTTTATGACCATTACACAAGAACCTGCCAAGGTATTGGGTTTGAACACCTAGCACTTTATATCACAGATTCTACTCTGTATCTCATTAAGTTTACCCATGTGTAATACGATACTATTTCCAGTACTAGTGAAATGCCCCCAGTTTCCCAGAGAAATAACTGTAGAGTCTTTGCAGACAGAGTGTTCCTATGGCAGCTGTGTTTGTGGGGTGTCTTAAAGTGAGTAAAGCCTCTGGTCCCCTCCAGCATTTCTTTGGCCTGCCTAGCAGTCCTGGGTAAGTGATTTTTTTTCTTTTTACTTTTTTTGTTTGCTCTGGATCATGAGTGCTTGCCTGAGAGATACAGAGACAGGCAGGGTAGATGGGGAGGAAAGAGAAATCACCTTCCAGGTGGATGGTCATGCCAAAATCACTTCTCCATTTTCTTGTTAGAATTTTGGGTACATATGAACATGCTCCAGATATACTTTTCAAACCCTTGGATCTGGGAATCAAACTACAAAGTTGCATGTAGATCCAACTGCCTTTCCACAGTGCCACTGACTGGCCCACTCCTGGGTAAACTTAAAGAATTTTAGGGGTCATCAGGTGGTGTAGTGAAGATTTTGGACTCTCACTTGGTTGAAGGAAGTGGCAGCTTTTCCTTCAGTCCAAGACCTGGCAGTTCGAAAATTACACTAGATGCATGTGGCTTTGTGCCCAAAATTCCAGAAGAAGAATGGAAGAGAGGGGATTTTGGTGTGGCCGTAATCCCTGGGTTGTGATTTCTCACTACCCCTCCCTCTTTCTGTCACTCTCCAGTCAGCATATTCACCCTATGGTAAAAACCTAAGGAAAAACAAAACAATTTTATACAAGTTCCAATTCAGAATCCAGTGACACTGATTTCTATTAGGGAGCTTAGAGTACTGGTGAATGGTACCATTTTATTTGTAATAAAGTAAGTATTACAAAGTTAGAAGGTTATACTGTACAGATAGGAATCTCACCTGAAACAACACCCCTATGGGCTGAACACTGTACTAGTACTTCAGAGCAGTGGCAGAAGAGCCTGGGAAAGGGAAAAATTTCAGTTTACCTAAAGTAATTATTGCTCTTACTTCCTAGAGTGAACAAAATTTGGATAATCCTACCTTCTCCTGAAGCACTGGATGGCTTTTAAAGGTTTGGACCATCTTTCAAAAGGGATAGGTAGTTTTGCTGAGATGGGTAGGCAAAGCCC